CGACAGGTGCTGTGCGTTGCTCGGGGCGCTCACTGGAGTTCCGGTCCAGTAGTGTGCGCACGTTCCAGCACCCGATGCTGAGTGCTTTGCGCACAGGCATACGATTGCATTGGTGGGCAATCGTATGCGAGATGGTCGTTGTGCTTCGGAGGTTTGCTTGAGGGACTCCACCCGGAGCCTTTGGCTCAATAGCCTTACCCACAAGGCAGTGGGTGGTTTGGAGGTTTGCTTGAGGGACTCCACCCGGAGCCTTTGGCAAAAGAGCCTGACCCACAAGGCAGTGGGTTATTTGAAGGCTTGCTTGAAAAACTCCGCCCGGAGCTTTTGTCTCAATTGCCTGACCCACATGGCAGTGGGGAGCAGATCCAGCTCGGGAATGTGATTGCAGAGACAGATTGGGATCTGCTTGACGGCCGTCACACGCAGCCTTAGAGGTACTGGAACGGCTCATGTATGTTTTGCGACCGTAGTAGGATACACCTGCGATCACGGCCAGACGCAGGTTGGTTTTGGCGGATCTGCACCAATTTGACCAGGGGCTGCCTGGCTTGTTTCGGGTAGTAGCAAACCATTGAACATCCGGAGGAGTCATCCCACCGACAGAGACAATGCGCGGCGCTCGTGCTCTACGCCAATCGAGCTGTGAGCTTATAACCCGTAGACCTGTTGTCTCCCAAGGCTAGGTTTTACGGGAAGAGTGCCATCGACCACTTCCTAACCTCGGAAGAGGATTGACTAGGATACTGTCAGGGCGCCCACACCTGACTGGAGAACGACTCGGGTCCTCATCCAAAGCCTTCGATTAAATGAACACCCGAAAGGCAGCGGGTCTAGCACATGGTCAGTTTACTTGTGGTGGATTAAAGGTAGATACTACTGCGCCTGGTATAAGTAGTGTGGTGGTGCAAGATAACACACCAACAGCGAGCACTGCCGACTTCCCCAAAGTTGAAGATGACATCAGGATTACAGTTCCATGCATGCGAGGAGTGAACACAGAGGCAAGCATCAGTTGGGGAACACTCCATGGAGATCACGCAGATGAGCGGACGCCTCCAAGGCATGAACGAACACACGCAGTGTAAACCACTTTAGCAATATACAATTGCCGCCTGCCCCTTGGGTTCTAACATTTGGTGCCTTGACCTCGCAAGTCATGAAGATTCCCTGCCCGGAACCATTTGAAGACGGGGATGTAAAGCCGTTTTTTTAGGATTTCGAGGAGGTGACAGAGGCGGTTGGACTGAAGACGGACGGGGCGACGATGGCAGCCCTGTGGAGTCTCCTCTAGGGTAGGGCGAAGTCGGTTCTAGAGGCGGTGCGAAGAGGTGCGGTCAAGTTGGAGTGGACCACCGCGAAGGAAGCGTTGGTCTCTGGCCTGGACACGCCAGCGTACCGCCAGGAGGCGATGCGACGGTTCAAGGCGTCGCGGCTTGGTGCTGGGACGGATCCCCTCGTGTTTGCGGTGCACCTCAGCAGCTTGTTGGACCGCGCGTTTCCGCGGTTGGATGAACTGTCAAAGGTGCAGTTGCTGGTGGATCAGTTTTTGGCCGGCCTCCCACAACCAACCGCGGAGCGCGTTCGGATTGCGAATGCTACTCGGAAAATGCAATTGGAGGAGTTGGCGCAAGTTACTCGAGACCTGGGCGACGCACCACTAGCTGCGCTGAAGGAAGAGCCTCATGAGAATGTGGAACGGATGGACAGATTGGAACGGATGATGGAACAGGTTACGGAAGACATCAATGGGCTTCGCGCTCAGCGTTATCGGGTGCGCACAAAAGGATGTTGCTTTATTTGCGGGAAACCGGGGCACTGGAAGAGACAATGTCCGCAGAGACGTGGTGTTACTCGTGTGACGAATAAACGTGTGCAACCTCATTTTTCTTTTCGGATCGGATGTGGCGAACTTAAACTTGAGACTTTTGAGGCGAGTTCTCGACACCTTTGAGCGACGACAAGTACGCGTGTTGATCAACACATCTTCGTCCCCACTTTGTGTATGCGGCTCAAGGCTGGCGCCCATAGTTAAAATGACATATTCGTCTCTTGGAGCGGTTCCAAAGAAGTGCCATCAAGCTACTACGTGGACTATCCGGTCTTAGTTACGAACTGTGCCTCCGTTTACTCGGTGTGTTCTCAGAATATCCACGGCCTAACGGAGATGTCGTTCGCACAGACCGGATACTAACTGAAAGCATACACCCATGCACACGGTGTTTTAGATGTCATAATCGAAACTTGGAGCGGCAACGCCCACGTGCTGGCTTCCCACGGCACGCTGAATTGCCAACTGTCCAATGCCGAATGTTGGTTCCTGGAAACTGGATGGCGGGGGTTAGTTTGGGACACAGAGGCGGGACCTGTGTGTCTAAGATCGCGGTGCAGACCAAAACAACCTACGACGGTCGGCTGTGAGAAGTGAGTGCCGGTCGAAACACGAAAGCCGATATCGGCGTGTCATCCTTCGATCGCCGGGCAGCTCAATGGAACCCATGCCAATCGGATGTGAGAAATGCAGGGCCAACGGAACAGGCCGTTCGGCTGTGAGAATTGAGTGTTGGCCAAACAGCAAAGCCGCAATCGATCGATTGGCAGACGGCTTTCATGTAAATTAAAGCGCCAAGAAAAGAGATCTCTGCGAAATGGTTAGTGGCTCGTTGTGCTAGCAGTTGGACTTATGCGATGACCGTTCGATGGGCGCCGGTTACTATCGCAATATATGACGAAAGCCAATTGCGACAAAAGCTGTTATAGCCTCATGACAGGCTTCCAAGAAATCAGGAAGCTTGTATTAGGTTCCTTTCGCTACGAAGGAGTACCATACTGCCAGGAGCACTTTCTAAGGTTACAGTCTTGTTCGCGTTAGAAAATGCTCTTAGATTTCATTCTTACCCGACGCACTAGTGGCACCATTATACAGTACATCCACTTAGTCATGAATGCAACTATTGCCCTCACAATCAGATAATTGCTTGTTGTACAATCTGAGCATGCATCATCATCATCATCATTATACATGTCTGCTAGAGATGGTAAAACACCTCCGCTATTGTACCGCAATACATAAAGGAAATTCATACGTACATACAATACATGAAGGAAAAATAAATACGACAGTTGAATGTCA